TAAGAACGTACTTATTGAGAGAAAGAAACCTTCTGTCTAAAAGAGACAGAAGGGGTCCGGAGTGGGTTGTCAACTTTTGTAGTGCAAAACCCCAAGGTAAGGCAGGTGGGGAAAACTGGGAAATCTCAAGGTGAGCCTGAGGTGGGACAGAACTGTGGTTAGCCAATAAGATTACAAGTCTAATTGCTCACGTAAAGTTGATTAAATTGGGATCAAATGGGGAAGTGAGTCAGGTAGCAAGCAGACATGAATGTAGAGCAGGGCTCTTCTGCAGGGGCTGAGTCACACCTTCTGGGTTTTGGACCTGCTTAGAATATCAGCCCTGGTTGCTTATCCTCAGGAAGTATGGGGGTGCATTTGTTTTGTCTTTTGTCTTGGGATCTGGCCCACAGCTGAGGTGTCAGTCTCCCCCTCAGTTGCCAGGTGTCTCATCTGCTGCACTGGCTCCGTTAGGGGCTCAGCCCTATCTGCCTGCCTGTAATATTTCTATCTATCTCAGCTTCCTGTAACAAAGGGAGTCTGGGGGAATAGCTAGCAATGAAATACTCTGACTTTAGGGATCAGAGAATTGCCCTTTAAAAGAGGCCTATTGTGTTTTAAATTCAATCTGGAAAAAAAAAAAAAAAAAACCATTCAGAAGAAGACTTAAAGATCTGTGAGGAGTTCTTTTCCAGGAAATTCTTTTCAGTTGGCTCCAGTCAGTCAGATGGATTGTGCTGTGTAGAATCATAAGGTAACAATTAACAAAATTCTGGTACAAGTTTCATTCTAAATAATACCCAGAGACCTGGAGATCCACAGAAAGAACTGATCTGTTCTGGGAAGCTGTGTCTCTGGAGTCCCTCAGCAAAAGGAAGCAAAGCTGTGTCAGCCCCAGGGCCTAAACTTGCTCTCTTGATCAAACCTGTCATTTCACTTACTGAGCACCATCAGAATGTGTCACTTTCTGGATAATGTTGGTGAATAAGTTGCTCAAAAATGCAATCTAATAAAAGACTCTGCCCTGTTTAAAATGCTACCTATCTGATGCGAGGAGGTTGGTTCCAGGCAAGATTCTAAGCGCCTAGGTTAGAGACTGCATCCTTGTGCATTAGCTTGGAGAGAGCCTTTCCCAGCAGAGAGATGGAGCTCAATGGTGGTTAAGGAAGATACAGAATAATTTACAATGTTGACTCTTTATCCATTTTGGCAATTTTTATCACCTTATCTCATCATTTTATATGCACATTAAAGACAAATATGAAGAGAATGCATGTACTTTCGGTGGAAATTATCAGTGTAAGGCACCAACTTCGTAGATAAAAATGGAGGTTAGCTCCAATACATAATTTTTCCATGATTTACATGACTTTCCTCTTCAATTTTGGTGCAAATTTAGTCATACTGCAGCAGGACTTACAGAGCAATGCCCCTTGAACTACCCTCTGCCCCGTAGCTGTAATTTCTTGTTCTGGTACAGATAAGGTTGGCAACTGCGTCCTGTAAACGGAGCTTGTATTGTTCTGTTCTCACAGGATTCATAAGGCTCTGTCTTCTCTCAAGACTTAATTATCAGTTGCTTTGTCTTGATTCTGTACCTTACCCTACCTCCATTTCTAGAGACCCCCTAAACAAATGTATAAAATTAGAACCTTTCCTTTGTTCTAATGCCCAGCACTTTGGACAGAAGTTCAGTAAGTCAATGTGCTTCTAAAAACCTGGAAATCCTTCTTTTTCCTCATAGGTCTCTCTGATCTCTTGGATTCTGCAACAACACTGCCTATTTCATTTAATTTGTATATGAATCCAGTAACAAACGTTTGATTCCATAGCCATTGCCAGAATAAAAACACAAAAGAGCAGTTTCTCCAATCTAGGCCCGTTTTGGTTTTTTTGGGGTTTTTTTTTTGGCAAATCTTTAGCCAAAAATTTCCAAGCAGTGCTTGCTCATCCATTCTAGCACAAGCCAATCAGTGTGTGCAATTTAAACAAAAGTTTCCATCTACCCCTTAAGCTGGTACAGAAGACCATATTTGATCAGCCATGCACCATGCAGGCATATTCTTAGTATGCAATCTTACTGAAAGATGAAAGTATGAAGCTAGTTTTATTTTAAAACAAGCAAGGGTGGCAGACTGCAAAATTCACACAAATTACACAAATTAGGGCAAAGCATGTCAGGTTTTAGTGTTTGGCAGCTCCATCCACATACTATCCTCTCCCTGCCTAGATGCTGTCATATCTTAGCAATACTGCATGAATGTTAACAGGAGGAATATATTATTTTAAATTTAATATGACAATTTTGAAGGAAATTGACAGCAGAAGTTTGAAAAGTGGCCTGAAAACTTGCACCAAAGAATTTGATTTTGAAAATCCTAGTGTCTTATAAAGTATGTCCAGTCCAAAGGGAAGCCGGATAGGATACAAAGAAGGCACTTAACTATGGCGATGTCTTACCCCCAGACCCCAGGAGGGTCAGAGCCAGTGGGCGCTGGGTCCCGAGGCTTCCCTGAGAAGGTAGCTCGTGAGCCAGACACTGGGAACCAGGTCTCTGAAAGCACCTGACTCCGAAGGAGTGTGCTGTCCCTCCTCACTGATGGCAGAACCCTAGCTCGGCCTGCGCCAGTCCCTGCCTCTGCCGGGCCAGCCCTTACCCCCATGTCTTTCTCCTGTAAGGTCCGGCTTTTTGTAATCCACTAATCAGTTTGTAGTAGTTGAAGATTTTGTGTCTTTCTTAGTCCTTTTCACCTAAGGATGTGTAAGAAATAATCTAAATGTCTAAATTTCAATATTCTGACCCAATATATAACATAAAGAGCTCAAATTAAGGTTTCTAATTTAACTTAGAGGAAAAAGAATAAAGAATTTTGTGTTGTGATTTCAGAGGTCACCCTACTTCCAGAGCAGGAAGGTAGCAACTATTGAGTTACTGATGGTGAGGCTATGACCTTCCTGAGCCAGACTTTTAAAGACAGGACACAGCGGTCACTGCTGCCTGTGCATTCACAAACAAGCTGAATTTGCTTTGCAGATGGGTTTACTAGACCATTAGATCTGTGAAATTCAGAAGTCATAGCACCTGACCTTGACCTAGCACCATGAAGGTCATATGTTAGTACTTTACAGACAAGCACAACAAGTAGAATTTAGGTTTAAGAGTACTACAGAGTTGGATCAGTAGCTGCTTGAATAACTGTAGCCACCAGTGATGAGGGTCTAGCTGGAGACACATTTCTGTGGTGTTTGACATGGCTAAGTCCTCCACCTTGCAGTAATTTTTATCAGCTGCCTACAGAAAGGCCCCGATGAACCAGGATTTGTGTAGACAGAAGAGGATGCATATGTAATAAGCCTATAGCCGGAATAAGAACATAAAATCCTCTATAGGTTCAGCCAGCAGAAATGTGGAGGTCTGTTCTCAGTTTAAAAACTGGAAATGCAAGCCAGATGTGGTGGCACACACCTGTCATCCCAGCATTCAGGAGGCTGAGGCAGGAGGATAAGTTTTACCTCTACAGGTGCAATATAGGATAAATAGCACCCATAGAGAGTGCTTTTAATCGAAGTACATTAGGTGCATACTACAAATCATGAAGTACTTTTAAACACGGTCATCAAATAGTCTTATTTCATGATGCTTTTACCTAACTTGGACAAAAATTATCTTTCTTAACTTGTTTTCATAATCTTCCCTGTTCATGAAGTTTTTAAGCATGTTTTTACTTAAGCTGTTATTTAGCCTTGATTATGTGATCCATAAACCTTGTACAGAGAGCACATGAAAGTAAAATGACTGTCACCTGCACTTTCTGAAAATGTTTTCTGCAGTAAAAAGTAGACTCAGTGAGTTCGAGCAGCCTTGCAGTCTTCTCTGTCGTGTCCCTGTATCCTGAGACAAGGCTGGGCACATAATACTTCTTCCAGAAATATTTGCTCAGTACAGTGACTCCCAGATGACTTGGACGAGTTTGCCCACCAGGTACTGACTCTGTGCTAAGTTTGGGGTTGCCCCAGGGGTCCCCTCAGCACGTGGTTTGGTGCTGGGCATAATCATGGTTGTGCAGAGAGTGCTACCCGTGGAGAGATGTTAGCCAAGCCTGCATCTTATCCCTGCTCTCGGTCAGCGGTGCTGGTCAGTCAGCAACAGTGCAAGACGGAGTATGTAGTGGTTGCATATTGTGAAAGAAGGAAAGTGTGGGTGATAGTTACTAATTCCGTGCCACACTTGTTTGACTGCTGCTGATGCTTGGCTTGTGAGGTGTCACAGGACTCAGCCCCAGAAATCAGAGGATTCATGTCCAAAGCTTAGTGTGTCACTTGATAATTGTCTGGCCTTCAGAAAGTCACATTCCCCACAGTAAGTCCAAGCTTCTCCATTTCTGAAATGGTTGAGAGTGGTAATTGATTCATAAGTTCAGTAGGAGAATGAAAACCAGTCACACTGTAAGGAATAACAATAAAAGCAAACTGTTACTATGGAATAAATCAGAGAAGCCTAGCCAGATGCAGCAGCATAGTTATTACATCATCATCTCCTTAAACAGAGATTAGTGTCACCTCCGAGAGATGCAGCTACCCCAGGTCACTAGCAGAAAGCTGGAAAACCAGGACCCCAGGTCAGGTCCCTGGCTTTAGATCCCCTCGTGTTTGTCTGTGCTACTGTAACAAATAGGAAGAGATTGCTGGACTCGGCACAGCACACAGAGGAAAAAGGTTCAGGAGAAACAGTAGAAAAAGTGCCCTGGGCCTACTGCATGTGCACAGATAGAGAATAGCAAGTCTTTGCTGAATACAGGGAAGAAAGAGCTTTATAAGTACTTTGTAATTTCCAAGAGCCCAAATCATTCTTATCCTCGTAAGTGTATTAAAAGAGAAGATGTTTCCCCTGCATGTGAATCCTCTGGGCAAGCATGTGGGATTGAGCACACCTTAAATATGTGGAGCGGTGTATCACAGTGATGGTTTTCCAAACAGTGTGCACGGGATATTTTTCAGCCTTCCTCCTTTTGTCTCCACAGAATGCTGAGGTTTCTGTTTTTGAAGTGAATATCCGGTTTGTTGGTGGACTGCTGTCAGCTTACTATCTGTCTGGAGAAGAGGTAAGATGAAAAGTGTGTATACATGTGAATTTTAAAGCGTCTAAAAATGTTACTTGTTGTAAAATATGCCTTTTGTGGTACATATTCAGGATGAATCTGTTACTTTCACATGTTAGTAGGCCTGTGGCTTACACTGAATTTCTCATACTATGTGCTAATTAAATGAGCAAGCTGAGGAAGTGTGGCAGAAGGTATTGCTAAGCAGTGAGAAGTGATGCTTTCACAAAGCCAGCTCCATTAAGTTAGATCCATGTGATTACTGCTCCGAGGCCCGCCCGCGGAATCATTAGAGGGTTAGTGTCGGGGAAGTCTGGAGGGTGATTTTTCTCTCTTTGAAAATTATTCTGATGTTAGTATAATGGTAGCTTAATAGAAACATCTTAAAATGCAGAAAGCATGGCAACAAGGTATAAAAATCACAGTGCTTATGAAATCGAGGGGCGAGAGTCTCCACCTCCCAGGAACTTCCCAGAGCCCAGTGCTTTGTGGCTCCACCAGGTTGGACATACAGTTAATTTTTATCTGCTGCTTGGAGCAAGCAGGAATTTTTAATTCAGCTGCCTTTTGTTGATAGATTAGGAAAGGGTTTTGTTCATGCTGTAAGGCACTGATGCTATCTTCTTGGAAAGGTTTTGGACAGCTCTGTGAGTTATGTGAAGTGTCCACTGATAGTTGCTGGAGTGAACCTCACCTTTCTCCCTGGTGGCACTGAATGCTGAGAAGCAGTCAGCTCCATGCCAGCCCCAGCGTCTGGCTAGGGACGCGAGGTCTGCATCGGGTCGTATTTGTTAGGCAAAGCTGCGGAAATTGAACGGGAGCCTTCCAGCTGCCCTCCCCACCCCGTCGTCTCTCTCTTGAGGACCGATTCCCTTTCCTGGTGTGTGTGGCATCCTAGTGTATGTAGACAGCCCTCTGCCTCCCTGCTGAGTGTTGCATTCTGTTCTCCACGACCTGTGTCACCTTTGGAGCCAGGGTCCTGAGATCCCATGCCCCCTCCTGTCTTCCTCCAGTGTCCTCGAATAACTTCACACATCCCACTGGGTTCAGCATACCCACTCCTGGAGCCAAGGACTCTGAATGTTTAAACAGGCAAGCTTAGAATTTACAGCGCTCCTCTGATTAACCAGCACAGAGTAGTCAGCACCTGTTTATGACGCAGCATGGTCAGGTGACCTTGAGTAACCTTCAGCATTCACAGCTAGGTGAGACAGTCTACAGCAAAGAAGGACTGCATCCTTCTGCGTCTGGCCTCCATCAGGACAGTGGGGCCCACGCAAAAGGAGGAAATGCACATTTCTTCTAAATAGCACTCTAACAATTAGTGTAGTTTTCCATAACAGAATTTTGAGTTTATGTATATGTATGTTCCAATTTGTATATGTACTTAAAAATGTATATTTATGTGTTTATCTAGATGTAACACCCACAGACATTATATTTTGTTTATAGATAGAATAATTTGCCTACGACTTTATAAGGTGTGTCTAATTCTGTATTAACAAACTTTAATAAATATAGGAAAACAAAGAACACTTCTGTTTGATTTGTCCTTTTAATGTATTTGTTTTATCCTTATCATTGTGGAAACATTGTTTTGGTATAGGTTTTCTGTATTTTAATTTTTATAAGAGAGTTCTATACAATATTCTTTTTCTCATATTTCCAAACAGTACATTTATATTTTAACCCATCTCAACAAGTTTTTGATAGTCTTAAATATTAAATATTTAAGCTGTTCCTAGTCTTCCTAATTTGGATAACATAGCTCTAGGAGGTCAGCAAACGCAAATGTCTATTCTCTGCCCAGGAGGCACTGGATGAGAGGGTGAGCACCCACTGCCTGACTGAAATCACCTGTCTTTTCTCTGATCACCTGTGACTGACAGCCTCTCGTCCCTCAGTTGGACGCAGACAATTAATAAAGTCCTCCAAATACTTTTATGTCAATCAAAGAATTTACTAAGGTGACGTAGAAAAATTTGCCTTCCTGAATTACCTTTAGAAAAGTTACTAATACTGTAATTTCACATCCTGGTTTCATGACTGAAGCTCAGCAGTTTTTAAGATTATCTTGGGAGTCACCATCTGAAGTCTAAGCCCCGCACTAATGCAGCCTCAAAATTCGAACGTCTATGTTGCAGAAGCAAGAGAAGCATTGATTTGTGCTAGAATTATAGTTGCAAACAGTAATCTGCCAGAGGAGCACTCAGCTACAAAAAGAACAGTGCAGATATTAAATATCTATAGTAGACTTTGATTACAGCATGCAAAGTGTAAAATGTCCTAGTTCAGTAGAAATATTTTGTGTTACCATAAAGTCAAGCCTCAGCATTTTTGAAGTCTGTAGGAAACTCCAGCAACTGCAAGAATTATAAACAGAATGGAGATAAGGTGAATATTAAATAGGAGTGACGGGTGTTAAGAATAAAAGGTAGTGTTGCATTGTGCTATAATAAGCTCAAGGCAAAAGAAAGTCCTTGCTAAAGACAGGAAATACAGGTGCATGTAGAGTATCTTTACTCAGATATGCTGCCTCCACTAACTTCCCGACATGTTAAGATAAATCTGTGCCTCTCTCTGTACACTAAAATGAAATTTGGAAAAAGTTAGGTCCTGTATTCTTCATTGGAAATTCACAGTGCTCAAAAAAAGTAATTAATTTAACTTCATTCTTATGTTTTCCACATGTAATTAACTATAATCTCCCTGTTTTTAAAAATGAAACATCTGCTAGTGCTGAGTTGGAATTACTTTCTTCTTGAACAATTCTTAGGAAATGACACTGTGGAATAAGAGTAACCAAAGCAAAAATTGAAAATTTGCAACCATTGGAAATTTGCAAGTGCAAAGCACAAATGAGGAGAATAAACTTAAGGCATTCAAGGGGCCGACACACCTAGAAAGCAGCATGTGTGAACAGCCGCTGATCTTGGTTTCACAGCAGGAAGCATAGCTGTACTGGGCGTATAGTGAATTTATTAGGAAAGAGTGAGATGGCTGACGACCAACCTGAGATGAAACCCTGCCTGCCATCTCGGGTCCTGTAGCTTGACTGGACTCTGGAGTCATAGGAGTAGTGACCACGGCCTCTTTCTTCCGTTCTTGGCTTGATGTCCCTTGAAGGAGGCTGGTTTGCAGCAGCTCAGCGTCATGCAGCCCCTTGGGGGGTTAGGAAGAAGGGAAATCTGCCAGGTTGAGTGCCTTGTCCCAAGACCGAGTAGAAAGAAGGATTGGAAATCTCGGGTGAAAATTTAGGGTGTGTAGCAGAGTTAGGGAGAGAAAGGCTTTGGAGTCAAAATAGGGTGTAAGTCCGCCAAGTGGGAGAAAACCCCTACTTGATTTGAAAACTTACCTTATTCTTTAAATTGAGAGCCCATATTTAAATTTGTAAGCATATCAGATTATCAAAGAAAACACTCTTCTAGCTTTAAATCTGTGCATGGAAAGACACAAACCAGTTCCCAGAAACCAAATTGGTGTAGCTCTCGGGGGCCAGGGGTGTAGGACATGCAGAGAGTGGGCTCCTGACCTGTTGGCTCTGCCAGCTGCTCTTTCATCCTGGTGACAGCAGGAGGGTTTTCCTTCAGACCCCTCGAAGGCTTCCCAGTACACCTGACACAGCCCCAGCACCGAGACTGCTGAGGGACGCTTGCTAAATAAGCAGCTAATCCTGCCAACTTTTTGGGCGGTGGTGGTGGAGGAGAGGCGAGGTGGAGGAGAGAAAGAGGACATGGACTGAGCTTAGCAGTGGAGGGGGAGGACAGTCTGCTTGTGTTTCACAGTAGGCTACAGGCATTCGAGGTGTTTGAAGGGGTGAAAATCAACTCTGAAAAGTGTCTTTAGTGATAGATAATCATGAAATTAATTCAGAAAGGCTCTTGGAAGTTAGGAAGTATTGATGTTGTTCCCTTTCAAATCAGTGCAAGCCATAGCCCAGCGGAGACGGCCATCTCTCCCAGAGATGGTGAGCCTATGTCACACTCACTCTAGCTGGCTCTTTGTTATCATTGAAAGCTCTGAAAAATTTGCCATCTCCTGCCTCATCCTGCAGAAAGCTATAGTGACTAACAATGTAGGCAGCTGTGGAAAGCAGAAAATACAGTCAGAGTGAGGCCGAGGCAGGAGAATCTCTGAGCTGCATCCCGGCCTGGGCAACATTCAACCCAGTGAGAGGGTTAGGGGTGCAGCTCAGCACTGAAAGCCCTGTACCTCGGCAAAGAAAGTCAGTGCAAATTGGTTGCAGATAAGATTAGCACAGAATGTAGTATCCAGCAGCTTAATCATTTCAATTTTGAACAGAAATGTGTCTTCAAATTGCCTAGCAGCCAGGGGAGGGGAGAGAATTAACAGTGGTTGGGTTTTTCTGTTTTTGTGTAGCACTTCCTATGTGTGTGCTAAATGTTGCCTAAACCTGTTGTAAGCAGGGGAAGTCGAGGGACATCACTGAGTCTGCCTGGCCCCTTCCAAGTCCTCCCTAAGTGGTACCAATGGGGCTCAGGTCTGTTCTGCTCTTTCAAACATATGGAACCCCTTCCATCTTGATCCCAACAAGCACATTTAAATTCAGAAAGAGATATGAACAAAAGTCATAATTGCAAAGAAAGATAAGATTTAAGAAACTGATCACAGTACCGGACTTAGAAATATCATGTTAATTCTACACAATGAGGAAATAAGAGATTTGTATAATGTAGTTAAAAGAGAAACTTGACACAGTGGTACAATGCAGTAACAAAATTACTAGTTAGAGTTTTTTGCACTGTTTATCATATAATGAAAAATTTCAGTAAAAGAGATCCTGGCACCAGTCAAAATAAAATACTAGAAATATTACACTTGTGAAAATTTAAAAAGTGAGCTTTTAAAGAACAAAAAGATCAGAGAAAGTTACATTAGAGAAACATACAGTTTTACAGATCTACATGCAGAAAAACTAAATAGATGGTTAACTAAGTATATTTTGTTCATTTGGAAAAATAACCCAGAAAAAGGGCCACCTA